CTAAATTCACAAAGCTTTTTATTTCTGGTTCTCAGGAGGATATCTTTTTTATTATTTTTTGAAAGCCACCTATTACTGTAATTATGAACAGGTACCATATGTACACTGGAATTAAGTTTATGTGCTTCTTGCTAACATAGAAATAGCAGATGGTAATGAGTACAAACATTTTCTTTCTGACCAGAGTTAAGACTTTATGAAATTGTGGTCTCTAGATATGGCTTGAGTTTATAGGATTTTTACACTCACTTCATCACCTACTAGGCAAAAGTCTTAAATAGCACATCTCTCTACAGCAAACCACACATTTTGAGGTACCTTTCATGCCCATAGCACAGATGTTGTAGGACGAATTAAGCACTGAAGTGCTGTATTTAGAGGTATGTTTCAACCACTAACCCATCACTATGAACTATAGTAATAGTGATAGTGATGATATGAGGCTTAGCAAGTACCAATAATGACAGCCAAAAACTACCCAAGTTACAACAAGCACCAAATGACAAAAGCTGAAGGGCACACACACACACACAAACTCATAATGAAATAATAATATTCAATATTCTGGACACAATCACGGTTGGAACAAGAAAGTTTATAAAGGTTGCATAAAGTTGGCAAACCAGTCCATGCAACTTTTTAAAGTGTTTAAAAGTTAAACGCAAACGTTTGTTGGTTTGCCACAGCATGAACACTAGTGCATTGGCCTTTTACCTTGTCATCTGCTGCTGTTTTGTCTTTCTTGTCTCCATCTTGCTTTCCTAAAGGATAAAGTGTGACCATTCAAAATATCTTTTTGGAATTAAAGAATATATAAAGCCGGTATAAACTGTTTAAAATGCGAAATCTTTTTTCTACCCTCTCAAAATACCAGAATGAACAGGCCAATCTCATATTGTTAGGTGAAAGAGATCAATAAGCAGTTAAGCCTGTGATTACTGTATATTGCTGTCAGTAGGTGTAGTGTTCTCTTTCGTAGTAACTTGGGCTTGTTGATGGCACAGTGGGAACACATCAGTGGTCACATGCTCTGAAGTCCTACAGAATCACAACAGTTTTCTGGTACAGTTCAATGGTACACAATGCCCATAAGTAGCTATGTCATCATAGCCTACTAAGCGCAGGCTTTGCGTCATCATGTCAGATTCTTCAGTGCCAAGATTGTCTCAGCCCATTATTCCTATGACTAACTGGAAGGGTCTACCTCTTTCATGTGATTGATTATTGGTGACAACATGCTCAGTATGTATGTTGCCTGTTTGGAAGTTTGTTGCACCAGGGCTGCATTGGAGGGATCTGATTGCCCGCACTGCAAACATATAAATGCTAACTTCTGTGCACTGATGTTAGCAACACTCTACAAAAGCAGCGTTGAGAGATGAGCATTTGGGCATCAAGCTCTCCAGACTGCCTGTTGAGTTCACTTGAAGGTCCCTGTTTCCCAGCCCTGAAGCACATTCTGTGTTTTCCTATAGGCTAGAAGATGAAGAGCAACATGATATGTCTATGATGGAATTAGAATCTGTGGAGTTCACTGGAGTCCAAGCTGAAGGCTGACTTTAAAGCCACAGTGATGCTTACAAATCTGCTTGGGATCACCTCCCATGCATTGGAAAATGACATGTATTGCACCTCCCATGTAATGGATGGATGAGACCCTGACTGAGAAATAAAAGTCCATTTTAGATGATTGTTTTCTGCTTTCACGCCTAG